GCTGAATGTTCCTATATACAAGTTAATGTTAGCTGAAAGAAAGGGGGTTTAAAAAAAAAGTTTTGCCCAGTGTAAGCAGATACAGACTTGTAGACGACACACAAGCTAGTACTTCTATTTCATCACTGCACTTTTTTGTTTCCCTCATTGTAAGAAAAGAATGATTTTTACAGGGAAACCTTCACATTCAGACAGTTCTTGTTAAATGGTATGTTTTTAACGACTTCAATGATTCATGGTGTGACATTGTTCATAGCTCTTTCACCTCTAAATTTTATCCAAGCAACAAATTAGAAGAAAGGACTCCTGGGGGCTTCTTCCTTCTTTCTGTGAAAGATTGGAAGCATTTTTTTTTTTTTTTTTTGAAACGCAGTCTCTATCACCCAGGCTGGAGTGCAGTGGCGTGATCTCGGCTCACTGCAACCCTTGCCTCCCGGGTTCAAGCGATTCTCCTGCCTCAGCCTCCTGAGTAGCTGGGATTACAGGCATGCACCACCATGTTCAGCTAATTTTTGTATTTTGAGTACAGATGGGGTTTCACCATGTTGTCCAGCTTGGTCTCGAACTCCTGACCTCAGGTGATCCACCTCACCCTCCCAAAGTGCTGGGATTACAACCATGAGCCACCGCACCAGGCCTAGAAGCAAAATTTAAATAACGTTTACTAGAGTTACTTTAGCCAATAAGAGCCAGGAAATTAAAAATGAAATCGTAAATGCTGCATCTTTCACTCAGAAACGTGCCTTACATGCATATCTCCAGCAATATAAGAAAAACATTGAGGATTTAGCTGATGGTTTGATGGCTTTTGCCTGCCTGTCATAACTTTATTGCTGCTCAAAGGTAGAATTTTAAAACACTCGACTTTGAAATCCTTTAGCTTACTATTGCCAATGTATTGTTAAGTGTTGTCTGGGGGAACCTCTGAATCTAAACACATATTTACACCCTTAAGTTGCCAAATTAAATCCATCTGGCTTACCAAATGCTGTTGCCAAAAAACTATTACACTTTTGGTGTAGCCAGTATTTTAAACGTGGGGGATGGGAGGGCAGTGTTGAAAGGCATTAGATTTGATAGAATTTACATGTGCATTGATGCCACATTATTTAAGTATTTATATCAAGTTTAGATCCCATGGCAACTCTGACCAAGAAAGAACTCCTACACAAGGCAAAAAGTCTAAAGCCACTAGGTATTTAGGCAGTCTCCTCATGGCACTTTTTGCCCTGTGGCTCCTTTTCAGGCATCACAACCACACCATAGGCAAAAACCACAAATAGCAAATACTCTAATTTCTTGAATTATTTTTTAACTATTCCTATAAGCACTAGGAAATGCCTACTCCTATTTTCTGGTCAAAGTTATCAGCTCATGTGAATCGTAGAAAGAATACATTCCATCCAACGATCTGAAAATATGTTAAGTCAAAATGGCAAGTAGCAAAATTTGCAATCACTCATAATCCATAGCAAGGTAGGGTCTTCCTAATTTCAGTTGCTTAGAGACATGTAAAGTTCCAAATGTTCATAAAGTCAACTTTTTCTCCTATTGGGAATTAATTTAAACATTAGAAAACAGGAAAAGGTATAAGTACTCATCTTAAATGTGCAAGTTAATATGAAATTTAGAAATAAGCCCCATTCCTTTCCTGCTTCTTTGGTAGAAGGGCTAATGTACCAACTAAGAGAGAGAATAAGCTAAAGGTCTGGATAGCCACAAACTAAATACACCCCCACAGGAGAATCCCTAAGCTTCTATGGTAATTTTGAAACTAAGAGAAAATAAGGCAGTATGAGAAGGCATTATGCTGCTTTAAGTATGACTTGGGAAATGGTCTTATTTTACAATCAAATATACCACTTGCTTCCATCATGTAAATATTACCAGTATTTGGTTTCAGATTTTCGTGAGGCAACATTATCTAAATTTACTGTTGGTCTGTATACTTAAATATATAACATTCATTTGCAGTATTTCATTTATCTCAAAAGATTAGTGTATATCTCATCTAGAATGAGACCTCTTATGAGAATAGGAGATGGGAAAGCCTTTTGAAGGCATTTGGCAGTCCAGAGAGTCTGCAATGAAATTGTTCCACTCAGGAATCGGTATTTATGTAAGATACATTCTGTACCATGTGTATTTTTTTGTTTATATTAGGATTATTCTCAAAGTCAATTTTAAGAGTGAATGAAATTTTTCCCTCAAGTAAATCTACCCTTAAGTAGCATCATACTCAAGGGCCTACACCAGAAAGTCTGCCCCACTACTCTCACTATTATACCATTCACTGAGGAAACGCTATAAAAACTGAGGAAAATGTCTACTTGTTTTTTAAAACAACGAGAAATGCTTTTTGCTTCTCAGTAGTGTTGGAAAATATTTTAATAACTAAAATAATAAAACTTCATGTGAGGCAAATTCCACCTTAATTATTGCCTGTTGGGGTGGAAAAATTAAGGAAACATTAGTAAATGTGTTAACTAGAAAAACCACTGTAGTAATTTCCCGCCAAATACCTGGGTCTAAAGTCAAAATAAAATCTGTGCTTTGCATATGATTTGCATGAAAATAGACTTACAGTTTTAGCTCTAACAATAGTACCACTTAGGACTAAGATGAATGGACCAGAAAAACCCCTGTGATTCATCAGTAGACTATGATTAGCTTACTTCAATGTTCTATGGTTCAGTTTGGAATCTTTAATGAGGGATGTTGATATAATTGCTTGATTCATTTTAATATTTCAAACACTCTAAATTACTCCATCACTATCTTAATAATTAATGCCTGAAAACTCATACTTACATTGAAAATTGATTTTAAAGCACAACATCTTTGAATAACACATTGAAATAGTGTTTCTGGTGTTTGCTTAAAACTTTGGTGTATAATTGATTACATCTTACAGATTACTTTTTTTTTCCTGGTATTTTCCTCTTCCAACTTAGGACTTTTTTGCCATATGTGGCTATTTGATGTCTATTGTTCATTCACAACCTTCTAGGTGACTGAAAAACGCATGGAGTTACTCATGCCAATAATTATTGCTACTGAATTGTTCCAAAGTCTCCCTTCCTGCAGAGAAAGAAGTTTCAGTAAAATATTCTAGAGGATTACAAATAATCTTTGCAGTTCATAAATACTTTCATAGGCTCCATTGCTCTTCACAGTTTTCAGTTAGAATGTTTTTTTTGTCATGAAAGTTTGCATTTATATTTCTCTTCTGTGGATTGCTTACCACTTATTAAAATTAAAATGCATTTTAAGATGAAACATTATGTACCTAGAATACTGAAGGTAGCACTGACCATTGTCTTCTGTTCAGAAAGCAATGTTGAATTGGAAAAGCAAGATTTTAGAATATTCCTTTTTACTGCATTGTCATTGCACCCTTCCTCTCTACCCTAGTCCTTCTGATCTCCCTTGTCTCTCAGATGATCCCTACACCCAATTATACAGAACAGTCTTCCTCTGGTTACTTATATTGAACACTTGCCTGCTAGCTGTGTTTGGCAGGCCAGCAGGATGAGGTAATAATCAGAAGAAAATGTTCTGGTTTATTGGCCTCATCCACGTACAACATTATTCAAAACAGTTCTCTGTGGGTGAGAACAGGGTTGCTTTGAGATCCCCTGGTCTAATGTTCTGTAGTAGTGAGGAGGAACAAAACTGTAAACTTTTTTGATCTCTTCTAGAATAATGGTAAGATAAATGATATCTGCTTGGCCCATCCTTTCAGTAATGTTTACAGGCAGTTAGATGTATGTGAAAATGAGAGCCTTTCATTTATAAACATTTTGGTTTTACTCTTTCCAAGTTCAGCCATCTTCTTAAGTACAGCCTCCATGGTCAGTACAGCAGTGTTTTCCTAAAAGCATATTTTGTGAACAATTTCTCCAGGATGATGGTAGTTTTTGTAAGACAGATGCCTAGAAGACATATGGTTTTCATAGATTTTCCGTCTAGACTAGCTTTATTTAGTGACTTTTGGTCTGAATTGGTCTAGTTAAAGTTTCTGTAGGAGCTTGTATAAAAATTTAAAATGTGGGCATACCATTAAGGTGTAAAACAAAAGTTTGACTTCTTGTTGGCAAGAGATTAAAACGGATTGGTTGAAAATTTCCTTCATGTTAAGTAATTCTGATCATCTTATAGGCCTACTCATCTATTCCGCCCTTACAACACTGTCCAAAATGGAAAGGCTTACCCTAAAAATCCCATAACTGTTAAATTCATATACTCCTCACTGTTCTTGAGTAAATTCTTTGTGTTCCAGTTTATGTGTGTGTGTGTTAGAAAGCCCTAATTCTTTCTGCAGACTCTTTACATGGCCCAGGGGACATATGATTCTTTACCCTTTTAGCACCAATTTTTACAAACACAGCATTTCTCTCATTTAAAAAAAGCATCTGACAAGCCACTGAGTAGAAGTGACGGAACCTTTAGGAGTTTCATACTGCCTTCAACCAACAATGAAAATTCTGTTTTTAAATGCGTTTCAAATTCTTGAGCCAGTGTCAAAGACTCATTTAGAAACAATATGACATGTTCAGAGGAAAAGAATTACATCTAGTCTTGCCCAGAAATCACCCTTTTGCTCCCTCTTTTGTAAGAGCTAATACTGCAGACCAGTCCCATCTTAACTGCATCAGAAAGAGGAGGCTCGTGGAAGGGAGGAAATGTGGGCTGTTCTGTCTCCACGAGTATCATTGCTTGGCTTCCTCGGCTTCTCACGAAGCATTTAATTGGACTTAGTCACATATTTGTTCACTGACATGGCAGCCTGCAAGGCATAATGCCTCTCTGTTTTTCTCTGTTTGCTTTAAAAATTTTTGTTTTTAAAATTTGAGCTCTAAAGCATGTTAGAGCTCCTCCTGCTGGATTGAAAAAAAAAAACTGGGATGATTAATACATGGTAATTCTTTTTCTTCATATTTGCCACCTGGGCAAATAGAAGTGACAGAAGCCTATCATGTGGTGCACTTAAAACTGACCTTTTAATTCATCAGGTATTAAGATCAGGCAGAAAGAAAATGTTGATGCTACACAACTCATCTCTCAGTCTTCAAATTCCTCATGCTCTTTTTTGTTGCTGTTGTTAAAAAAAATAAAAGGAATAGGAAAGGTTATTTTTCTATCAGTGTTTCTAGTTACATAGTTACCCCAAGTCACATCCCCATGCTTGAAAGGTTCTTGCTGTCTCTCAGAAAGCGACAAAAAGTTTTTTCCATCTTCCCAAAGCAGAAATGAATTGTACAGTCATATAGAGATTTGAAGTGTTGCCTTTTTCCTCCCTATCCTTTCTTCTTTTTCCTTCTTCCTCCTGAATTCCTCCTCCTTCTCAGAAGCAGACACTTGCCTCTCCCAGTAGCTAGTTCTCAGCACCTCCTTTCTTGCCTCCTCCTTCCCCTAAATGGTGGCAGTTGGCCTCTCCCTCTCCTGGTACCTGAAGTGGGAGTGACGAGACGGATCAGAAAAAGGTTTACCCCATTCACCATCAGTGGGAGTAGGTTTCTTACAGCACATAAGTTTCTGGAGGTCTCTTTAGGAATAAGAGAGAAAGGATGGGGGATGGAAGGGAGATAGGAAGAAAGGAGGGAAGGAGGGAAGGGGCAGGAAAGGAGAAAAGGAGGTAAGGAAAGAGCAAAGGAAAACAAAATCACTTGTAAATCTCTGTAAAACCACTTCCTTTCTCTGCATGCTTTCTCACACTGTATCCCTCTTGCCTTCTGCTGCTCTGCGGTTCTTTGTTTCTTTTAGCTCTTTCCTCCCCCCGGTTTATCTTCTCAACGATATAGTACAAAGGCCAAAATACTTAAAAGTTAATCTCAAAGTAATGCTTTTTAGAAATCATATTTTAATACAACTAAAAATCCTCTGTGTTACCTGTCTCATGACTTTATTAGGACTTGGGACAAAGGAAGTCATTTGGTATTTGTGATAAAGAATAAGACAACCCTTGATTTCTCAAACTTCGGTACTTTCTGGCTTTCTTTCCTTTGCACATACCTTTTCTGTTCCTGGAATGCTAGTCCCCTTAACTTCCTCTGCTTTCTGGAAGTCCTTCCAACCTCTCATCCTCCTTCCAACTCTAAGCTAGGACTCCAGGTGTTTCTGAAACTCCCGAAGCAACTATTTTATCATAATCCTACTGTGGTCATGTTAACTTGTCTCTCTCCATCTCAATAAGAAACTACTTCTGGGCAGTGACTGTCTTTATTTCTGTCTCTACCTCTTAACACAGTACCTAGCACATAAGTAGGGCTTACTGAGGGGATGAAGGAATATAAAAGGAATTGACTTGCAAGCCTCAATCAAAATTTATTTTGGAACAAGCCCGATACTTATTTTAAAAACCAATTTAAACACACTTTCTTGTTCTATTATATTGAAAAGCTTGCCTGAGTGAATGTTGTAAAATTCTTTCTACAAATCGTAAACCTAAGCAGAGTTAATGTGGGTAAATCATCCTTTAAGATGCTTTTCTGCCACAACCACAGAAGTGGTTATATTAGGCACCGTACGTATGGGTGAAATCCAAGTCAGATATGTAGGACAATGTAAAGAACGTGTGACAAAGCAGATTATATTACCATTTATTTCAGAGGCTAATTTATACAGGATATTACCTTCATCAAAAAATTGTATGTTTGTATCATCAAAAAATTGTGAACTATTTTTCTCCCTATGTTCCGATTTCAAATTCCATGAGTTGATTCATATTTTCCCAATGACATACATTATAAAATCATGGGTTCATTTTCACAGGGGAAAGAAATGCTGGCTCTAATACACAGCAATAATCATATTAGAGAATTCCTTAAATCCTTTAAGTGGGCTCCAAGTTCTGTGTTCTTTCCAGCATCTACTGTAAACTACTCTTGTATAGTATTGGCTCATTCTGTTACTAAAGCCAAAAATTCCAAAAATATGCTGAATAGCACCCTATAGTATTTCTTACAGTAAATTATAAAATATTATCTTCCATGTGGACAAAATCATGACTGTTACAGCATTTTTCTGACTTTAGCCTCATACCTTCTAGATATGTAAAACCTATTTGTTAAATAAATGCCCAAAATGAGAAGTAGAATGCAAATACATTGCTGAAATTTAAAATACAATGTCCCAAAGTTTGTTCTCTTAGAGCAGACATTCACAAGAAGAAGTAGGGGTCCTTCATCATAGCTGCCTTCCATTTTACCTAGAGGTGTGCTTCGACCCAATTTATCTTTGGGCCCATTCACACTCATTGATCTACCACTTGGGACACTGCCCTCAGCAGGTGCTATGGAAAGCTGCAAGAGGTGTAGGAGTAATCTCGGTTCATAGAAGGTTTTGAATATTGTTCAGATGATAAGATATGCATGCACACCTAAAACTTAAAAAAAAAAAAAAAGATGCAAGCATTAAATGATTCAAGAGGGTCGTTGAGAAGTAAAGCATTTCAATTCCTAAAAACACAGAAAATGGTTTTTGTAGATAAAACCCTTCGTTTTTTTAATCATAAATAAGTTAAAAAATGGTAGGCAAGTTGATATCAGATTCTAGTGGCCCTTGGAAACTTGGGATGTATAACTCTCCCTTGATCCTAGATGTATGTAAACTGAATTTTGAGAGTTATATTTTAAACTTTCAATTATAATTTATAAGTAAAACTTGCAGTGTAAAGGAAGCTATTGCATATCCTTTTAATGCAAATAACTACCCTTTTAAGCAGATATCTTCTCTAAAAATGTCAGTCTTCGTATATCTTTTTGAAGCCTTTCTTTTAATTTGGGTCCACCTAACTAATTATGTTGGACTTCAATCCTACCCTCTCCAAAGATTAGAATTTGGAATGCACATTTAGAGATGCTTACCTTCTATTTATTTTCATAAGCAAATACAAGCTTCCCTAAGCAAGTAGTAGTTATTCTTCTGGTAATGACTAACAACAACAACAACAAACACTATAGTACAGTATCTTGGTCTTTACAACATAAGGCTAAAACTGCTTTCACCCATGCTTAAGTCTAATTCCCAAAGGTATCAAAGTGTTTCTACAATATTTCTTCATCCTTCTTAAGATTTTCCAGCACTTTCTCTTTTTGTTTTTACTTTACCTGGCAAGTAAATTGAATTGCTAATAAAGCAAAGTAAAAATCTTTTTTTTACTGAGCAGTGGTTTCAAAGCATAATCCCAGGACCAGCAGCATGTGGGAACTTGTTAGAAATATCCTACCCCATTAGAAACGTTGGGTGGCACCCAGCAAGCTGTGTTTTAACAAGGCTTCCAGGGAATTCTGATGCAAGGTCCAATTTGAGAACCATTGCCTAGAGCATGTCAATCTAACTGCCCAATAGAAAGAATTCTGCACTGGAAGTCATGAGATCTTAGTGCAAGCATAGGAATGGAAGAAGAATGAGCTACATAGGCCCATTCTGGCTTACACATTTACCAGTCAGATAATTCCTGCTTCCCATCCTAAGGAGAAATAAGGGCAGGGACAGAAAGACCAATCCATTTCACAAATCAGTATTATGCTAGCTGGAGGCAAGAAGCTAGAGGAAAGGTGGTTTTCACACCCACCCCACAAACTGATACACCAAAGCAGTTTGCCCTATTGAGGTCTCCCTTAACTCCTGTTAAAATGGGCCTCTTATCATGAACACTCAGGACCAGCTAATCCAAAGAAGAGCAGATGAAATTTTAGTTCTTCTATTCTTAAAAGACAATAAAATAAGGCAAGAAAACAATGATGCATTCTTCTCTCTTATCGGTAAAGCCAGTTTCTCCCCCACAATGCCACCCACCCTGCATGAGCATTTGACTTTCTTACAAAATTTGTCATTGTCCGCAATACTGCAAACAGTCCATCCCTGCAGCTACAAATACAACTTCAAGTATTACATCTTTCCCTTTGATTTGAAAGAAGAAACTTGGCTCTTCTATGTAACCATAAACCGCCCACATACAACACAGTGTTTCAATAAATACTAAGTGATACAAGATGCTCCATTTCAATATAATGCCTTACTTAACGAAGCTCATCACTAAACAAAGCAACTGAGGAAAATTTAGTACAAAACAATAACTTTGCTTTCCCCAAAACAAACTGTCTTGTGAGGTGAATGTCTTTGGAAACTCTTTGAATGGTTAGAAGCTGGACCAATGAAATGAACTTTAACAGTAAACTTTAAATGTTTTCTGGTGTTGAAGTTGGCAAACATCTTAGCATTGCATATTAAGAAAATTCACCCTGAATTGCTTTCTAGTAGGGTTGTACATACAGATTTTTGTTATTGTTTTAGAAAAAAAATAAATAAAATGCTTATTTCTTCTGCAAGGGTTAGTGAGGAGCTCTTTAGGATTTTTAATTACTAAGTACATATATGGGTTCCTTTAACTGAAACTAGGCATATTTCCAAGATATCATAGTTACTTTGAGAGAACATGAACATTTTATCTTTTATTCTTTTAATTATTAATTCACCATCTAGCTATGCAGTGCCTATTGAATGCATGTCCCTAGGGACATCCTTAAAGAGCTCATAATGAATAAGTTATCCTGATTGATTGATTGACTTGGGAAAAAACAATACTATGAACCACAGGCCACGCTAAGTTATGGGACATGGTAGTGAATAAGACTAACAGTAGACCTGGCACATAGCAGAACCATATGTTCTCCTCATCTCCTGTCCTGACTTCTTTCTGCAACTGCCTACTACTATTGGCCTCTTGTCCCAGCCACATAGTCCAAGGATTAAAGCAGATATTAATGAGAATTTACTGTGCCATAAGAGTACTTAAGTCTTTCTATTCTCTATCCACACCATTGAATTCTTCCCTTCAGTCACCATCATTTAAGTTCCAGTTTCACTCATTATAGACCTACATTCCCTTACTTCCAAGTTTTATATGCAGCAGTTACAATCATGTTTGCCATTACTTTGACCACATTATTGTATTTTCAGACTTCCCAGAGTGTATTCTCAGACTCCAAATTATAAAATTTTGCCCTATTTTTCCACTTAAAGTGGAGTACTATAACAAAGCTACTTACATATTTGTTTTATTCCACTCATCTTCCATTCTGAATAGATGCTGAGCTCTTTAAAGTCATGTAGCATGAGGCAGTCCACATATTAGATGCTCAATAAATAATCTCTGCAATATATAACTGGAAGTCTTGACACAGATCATCTAGTCTGATTGTACAATTTGGCAACTGGAGCTAGAATCCACATTTTCTAACTTCTGATCCAGGACTCTTTCTATGTAAACTTAGTACCCAAACATAAGCTTCTGACAAATGCCTTAAAAGTGTAGCATCCTTGGCCTCACTAGACCTACTCACCTTGATCTAGCCTAAACTCTAGCCTAGTTAAACATCTTGTTTAGGCACTTTTCAGTCATTTCTTCATTTGTCCATTATTCAACAAATACTTAACCACTGCCTTCTAATCACATTGTACCAAATGCTGAATATATGTAATAAACGCAAAATATGTAGTCTCTTTTCTCAAGGAATTTTGAATCTATTTGGGGGGCACTGGTAATAATCTAATAAATAAATACATAATCACAAACAGGGTTACTTGCTGTGAGAGACACAAACATGAAGTAATAGAGGAAGGCAGAGGAAGTGGGGAAAACTATGGGATGGTCCAGAAGGACTGAGGAATAACAGTTAAGCCAAGAACAAAAGCATCAAAAGAGAAGTCAGTTTCATTCTTTTCTCTCTTGGCTACAAGCCTTGATACAAGCTATTACATATTCATGAAATGATTTCCAATCCATCATGCCATGCTGTATCCTACTTCTCACTGAATTTGTAGTCTAAAATCAACTTTTTAATTTAATGAAATCCCCTAATTAATTCCATTATCAAAACTTCTGGTAGAATTTCCCTCCTTAAAGTTCAAATTCTGGCCATTTCTCTCCTCCCACCAGCCAACTGGTTAATTGCTAAGAATATATTTCCATAGGGTACATGATTATTTGTCAAACTCCCTGAGGGCAGGAGGCTTATTATTTGGTATTTATTCCAAATATCTACTAAAGAACTGAGCAGTCAGATACTTTAGAGTCGCTAAAGATATCAATCCTACATGTCACTTTAGCTACTTTTTTTTTTTTGCTATAGCCATGATTTACTCACAAATATCCTTGTATTTATAAGACCAATGGATATCACAAGCATTCATTAGTTATTTCTTGATTCTAGGAGGAACTTTCTTTCATTCAGTTATCAAACATTCAGTGACTGAATGACAAGCAGTGAGCTAGATACTGCAGTTACATGAAGATGATTAAGACATAGCTCATTTCTAATCAGTGAAGATAATAGAGCCTAATTAGAGTTCAGTGTGATGACTAATAATAGAGATTTGTTGAGATACTGTACGAACAACTGTATCAGGAGAGGGGAAGGCAGGTCAGAGAAGACTTCACTGAAGTAAGTCCTGAATGATTAATTAGTAGTCTCAGAAGATGACCAAAATGACACTGAGAATGTAATTACATGTATGAAACAAGTTCAGTGGGTGTGACCTGTGGCCTTCAGAAACTTCATATCAAAGATGAAAATTATGCAGATTCAAGATTCAGGACATAAGTTAAACATATATGGCCATTTTAAATGAAAATAAGGCTGGGTACCACGGCTCACACCTGTAATTCCAGTGCTTTGCCCCTCCCTAAAGAAAGATTTCCTTTAAAGCCTCTTAACCATTTTTCAAGTGCATGAGGTAAAAGGAACTCTACTAATATCTATGAGTTTGTGCCTAAATCGTTCATGTTTTCACCATTAATCAACAATATCTCTTCTGCTTTGATTTTTCCTTGACTGTAATTTAATTTTATAGTTCTATGATTTTTCATCAACATTTCATAATTGCTTTCTTACATTTTTCTAACTTTACTTCTTCATACCTGAGAAAGGACATTCAATTTGATCAATTTAGAGTTTCTAATACAGAAGAAAATTTTATGACTATAATTCCAGAAGGAGTCTTTCTGAAAAAATCAGTTGCAGAGTTTTATCAAAAAGAAACATTTCAATTTATAGACTTTGTCAAATTTGTGGGGGTATAAAATGACTACCCAAGATACCACATATGAAGTCAAGTACACAAATACACTAAAAAACTTATTAATATATTCAGTAAATAAATGTAGAAGCTTGAGGAATAAATAATATAATAATAAGTAATAAATAATATTGCTTAGTAATGTTGAGACTCTCAAATACAGTAATATTTCATTATCTCAAGTACGTTTGCTCAGTAAACTCAGCTACCAGAAACATCACTGCCAACTAGAAAGTGAGTAATACTACTATTAGTAATACTAAAATCTTTAAGACCCAAAATAGGAACTAGAGCTCCTGCAATTTAAACAGGCACTCACACTAAGCCTATTTACACTTGCTACAGAGAACTCTAAAGCCTTGCTTTTCTGATTTTTAGTGCTCTGCAAATTACAAGCATAATATAGAACAAACTGGAGAAAGTTATAAAGGCAATGAGAAGTGATAATATCCTGAAAGAAAAAGAAGAGGAAAATTATATGTGAGAAATAAAAATTCAAAAACCATCATTGTCTGAAACAATATACTTTATTAGTTCCTGAGTTCATTCTATGTAATTATTATATTTTATTGGCTAAGATATGTGCAGTATGTTTCAGATGGCTTTCAAATAGTTTCATATTTCTTATTAGTATTAGAAGGAATGACTTCAGCTTTGAGAAAGATTTGCATATGAAAAAATACGTAATTTTCATTACTACTAGATAAATGAAAGGTGACAATGTTAAAATCATTACAGATCATAACCACTTCTGCTGGCCTGTATATGCATGAGCATGTGTGTAATGGCTCTTTCTCAGTGTCCTTGGAACAATGTTCTGCTAGATATTCTACTTGTTTCTTTACCTTTCTCTTTCTCTCTTTCTAGCCGGAGACCACCCCCATCACCAACTCGTCCCACTATAATCCGCCCACTAGAATCCTCCCTGTTAGACTAAATGAAGTGTCTGGCATGGCAATTAATCACTAATGAATTATGCGAAAGCAACATATTTGATAACCATTGCAGTAAATCATGAGTAGTCGCATGTGTGGACATCAGTAGGCAAGTAACCAGTTTTACTAATGCGTTCATCACTCATCTTCATTGCTCATGGTACGTCAAACCTTCAGGGTTTGACTTGAAAACTGCTGACCTTTACCGGCTTTATATGTTGTGCTGACCAAGGTAGGTTTGTATAGCAGCCCTATACTTTGGGGATCATTTGCCTACCATGGCATATATTTGAAATTGCTTTGGACAAGTTTTCTAGGCTATCTACCAGGTAGCTCATGAAATATAATTATTCAAATATGAGATAGTGGGCTTAGACCTAAGCCATACATATTTCTTTTCCCACATTCTGTTTAGGATGAGAGTAATTCTGTTGTCTACCTTGAATGCTACTACCTACTCCATAATTGCCTATTTAGCTCCTCTTTTCTTCCTTTTTATGTCATAAGACTGCTAGGAAGTGATTTTTTAAAATTAGGACTCCTTAAGAATAAACTTTTCCAGAAGCACGAGGTAGTTTGCAAAGGAAAAGTCTGCACTGTTTGCTCTGAAGAGCTTCTCCTCATTCCAATGTGTTTTGCTTCATGCTAGAAGCATATGCAACAGTGAATAAAAGCTTCTTTTTTTGTTAATCAGTCAATACATTTGGCTAATTAGTTTCAGAGTTCAAGGAAGAAGCAAAATATCACATCTCTAGAAGTGTTGGGAAAAATGTAATTTTTTTCTTTACTTATATTAACCTCATGGTGGATTACATTGAAGGCTGACATGGATAATGTTTACTTTTCTATTTGCTCTAATTTTTGGCATAGCTAACTACACTTTGATACTAACTCCAGTTTTACTATTATTATTTTGGTTGGAGAAAAAAATCACTCTTTACATGCTAATTTGTAATCCTGATATGTAAAAATTTATCCTACCTTTGAAACAGGTTCAGTGTAACTTTGTATCCATTATAGGCTTTCTTAATAAATCTTGAGGCTATGGGATAATCACATTTAAAGAATGCTTCCTGAAATGAAGTCAGTAGAACATGACATGGGATAAGAGCAGAGCTCACACTTTTACAGTTGTAGTATTTCAAAGTCCCTATCCAGGTCACTCCAGAAAAGGGTACTGAAACATCGAAATCTAAAGCAAATTTGCAATTTCTTAAGATTTCTAAAATTTACCAGAACAGTTTAGCCTGGGGGTTAATAGTTCAGTATTGAGGCTACATTTTGGACTACTTAGGACCAGATGATTCACATGTAGGAGACAGCCAGAAGCCAACTGGAATTTTTGTGTGCTAACTGTTCCCAGACAGCAGAGCAAGTATTCACTGAGTATGGGTGTCCCATGACACTATTTCATATTCTACAGAAGTAAATCAGGTTTCACCAACTGAAATGTCTCCCTTTGAAAGTAGCAAACATGATTTGTATGTTAACTTAACTTTCATTTCCTGTGTAGTTTATACCCAGAGCAGATACTCATAAAGTAAAAACTTTTAACCATTATTAAAAAGAGAACTTGCTATGTTGAGTGGTGTTGTATTGACCTTCTTCTAAAGGCTTACGGCTAGCCCATTTATAATTGGTAAAAATCACAAAATACAAGATTTACCTAAAGGTCATTTCAACTTTTAAGGTTGCAAGTGATTGTATGAAAACATCACAATCCTAAATCCTCTCGTATCTCACCCCAAACCCCAAACTGCGGAAAAAAGTTAACTCTTTGTGAATGGAACCAATGTGCAAGATACATACTACGTTTTAAAAATAGTGTCTCAGCTAAATGGAAAAAATGTTAAGCAAACATCCATAGTAAAACAAATAATCTTCAGTGAGATATTTTTATAAAACTTCTTGTTTTTAGGATTCCCTTTGCTTCTTCCTTTGAATTCTCTAAAATAGGCAGCTAACAGATTATATACTTCAGGGTTTGGCTTTGTGCTAAATGTGGTTTTGTGTTTTGCTGTATTTCAAAATTTTCCTTCTGTTAAAGGAAAATATTGTGAATAACCACTGGTGTGTTCTTAGATCAGCACAAACCATGTCAAAAAAAAATTGGAGATTTTTTTTTCCAATTTTCCTTCCACTGATCTTAGGCGGTAATAAACAATGGCATTTGTCATCTTTGGCATTTGCTTTTAGATTATAGTCCCACAGTTGCACCGCCCCAATTGTCTACCTTTGTGGGTACAGTTTTGTTCTTTACTCCTAAGTTATTTCTAATAGAACCCAGCCTACTCTAGAATTTCAGCAGTGACACTGGAGAATTTTAATTTGCTGCAGTGCTATGTCATATTATTAGTATGAATCTCATTTCCCAAAGGGTTTGTATTCTGCTAAAAGGAGATGCCAATGTTGAATGAAGTCTGAAACTCTAGGATGTGCATAGGTTGATGTGCAGCATGCACACCAGGCCTTAAGATGGGAATGTAGCTTAATGAGCTTTCTGTTTCCCATGCCATTTCTAATCTTTTGTGTAATTTCCTCTTAACTGATTGCTCTGATATTGTTAACACAATAGATGTAGCTCTATCATGTCTAGCATAATTTAAAAATTCAGTGTTTTTAGGATTTGGGAAAATAAACTATAAATGTTTATTTGATAGGTAAATATAGTTTTATTGTCACATGCTAAATCTTGCATGCATAATGACTAATTAAAATAACCATTTACTCAATTATGGACAGATTATTGAAATAGTATTGATTGAGAACAAGTATATTGCATTTCTAAAAAAACATCTACCAAGGTTACTCGTCTGAATATTGCTTTTAGCCATGTTTTATAACATAGACGAGAAGTAGGGTCTGTTTATTAGCAAATTTCCTATTTGTTCCAATACAAACTCACTTTATTCTAAAGTATATTAATGAAACCAGTTCCTGTGATGTAACTATAAGCCTTCTGGACTTAGAAGTAAAAAGTGGTCACATAGATTAATTTTGTGACTTTTTAGTATAGACTTCGTAGCCATAATTCTCAAATATGAAATGGGACCTAATACCAGTATGTGATACACATTGATGTTTTCTGTGTACAAACACATTTTCTATGCATGTGTCTCTGTGTATATGATATGGACCTAGTAAATATGTTTCTGTAAGTATGTGTATTTTATGTCCATTTGAGTAGGTAGGTTTAAAAATACTCGTTAAAATGCCACAAGCATGAGTGTGATTGTATGTGCATTGTGTGTATATATATAAATATATGTATATGTATGGTTGTAAATATCTATGTATACATGTACTTAGTATGTGTAGTATCAGGATATTTTTTAAACTGTGATAATACAACAGATAGCTTTGGATGATCTGCCATAACACGTGGTAACAATGGTTCATTTCTCATAACATATACGAAGGATACAACATTTTCTAACTCCAGATTGTTGTCATTTTGAGAGGTATAAAGCTCATAATTACCATGGCAACATGGTTATGTCCATAGACATTTGTATCTGAATCCAGAGCACTTCTATCTAAGAAGGAATTACCTTTGACAATATTTTCGGGGAAGAAGTAAAATCTGGAGACCTATCTTTAAGATCTCTAATTGGAATTATAAATTATTTTTGGGTTGCTGAGCTGAATCTTAAAAAGCTAAGTTGATATACATAGTCATTTTTCCTCTATGGTAGAAGTAAAAAAAAATAAAGGGACACAGCAACATTAAAGTAGTGGATTTTTCTGAGTAAATTTGCTGAAAATGTAAGGGAGAAGCTCTCTAATACTTGGAGGTAGGTCATCCCCTTTTTCAGGTAAACATTTTTCATTTGGCAAATGGCATAATTATTTGAAAGTAACAGGAATCTCCTCAGAATGAAGAATAAAGCCTAATAGGCCTCTCACTGTTGAACGCATGAAAGAAGATAGTGTATGAGTCTGAAGCCATGAGTTTTGTATCATTTCAATTAGAAGACTACTAGCTGTGAGCTCAGACGTTAATGGAAATGAATCTAGATGATTTTGGAGAAATGATTATTAGTTCACCAGATCACTCATTATACGTTCTAAAAAGCTCAAATGTGTCTTCTAGATACTCTTACTCATCCTGTCTAATTGGTATGTTTAAAATTATGTGGTGCTGTGTAGGTGAAACTTTTAGAATATTTTTGAAGCATATGTAATATATGCACTGCTATTTGTGTGTGTGTGTGTCTTTGTATATATGTAAGTGTGTGTATGTGTGAGAGCAAGAGAGAGGAAACTCAAAGAGGAGTGCTTGTCTTAAGACCTGTTCATACTGGTATATTGGTGAGACTTCTCACCTCTGGTCGGAAGTTTCACACATAGCTTAGCTCAAGTCATTAATCTCTTTTTAATTTTTACTCTTGAATTCCTTAAACTTCGCTCATTATGAAATGTTTAAAAATTATGACAAAAATTACTGTAACCTCTTGCCTTGTCTGCTACCAGTTTGTTAAAAATTATTCCCCCCAACCAGTAATTCCACCACTATTACTTGATTTGTGTTTTATTTCCTATGTAACAGCCTTTGTTTCGCTTGCTTGTCTAATTTTACTTTCCCTTTTTTGGGTCAAATTTTTCTTTTGCTTTTTTTGAAGAAGGAATATACAGAAGCAAAATCTTGTCTTCTCTGTTGATTCTTTAATTAACCTGAGCCGGATACTTTCCACTGTCTTCTTGGCACTTTCAGGATTTCTTAATGCTGATATATGGACTCTTAGAATGGAATTTTTGAAGAAAAATCTCAAAGCCTGTATCATTCTTGAAGGTCACATGTACCTATTGTGAAAATGTGAAGCTGTATTTCTGAAGCTGAAATAAATTATAACATTTGAAGGACCCCTTTTCCTCATTCTTGTATATATTTGAATCATGTCTATGCATTTCAGTAATACCTGAGACTTCTAAATACTCATAGCTCTTTTGATTAAACTGTCCCAGAGTTAACAATGTAAAGAATGATAGCATTTTGTGCTTCTGTCATTAACTTGGAGAAAGATGGGATTGTTAAAGGGAACAAATTGGATAAATCAAAGGCAGGAGAGTGGGAGACATTGTGTTTCTGATTTGATGTCATTATTGGAATAGATTGAAGAACACAAACCTTAGCGGGAGGGTATGATGTGACAGTTGCCAAGAAGCACCATGACATTTTGCTGTTGAAAATGAAGCATTTATTTAAAAAATTCTGGGAAGTGGAAGGAGGAAAGATGGTGTGCCCAAATGTTAGGTCCACAGAAGGCATTTCTTATAGCAAATATTTGAGTGTCTGACCCAACAATTAGCCTCTGTTCTTTTGTTCACTGGGCATAGAGGAGAATTTGCCGAGTCTCCCTCTGTCGCCCAGGCCGGACTGCAGTGGCGCGATCTCGGTTCACTGTAAGCTCCGCCTCCCGGGTTCACGCCATTCTCCTGCCTCAGCCTCCCGAGTAGCTGGGATTACAGGCTCCTGCCACCACGCGTGGCTAATTTTTTGTATTTTTAGTAGAGACGGGGTTTCACCTTGTTAGCCAGAATGGTCTCGATCTCTTGACCTCATGATCCGCCCACCTCGGCCTCCCAAAGTGCTGGGATTTAGGCGTGAGTCACCACGCCCGGTCCAGTTTCCCCAGTTTTAAGAGAATGTATTCAGAAAATGAAAGAATGACACAACTTTGTCCTAATTTTGAGTTTCCAGAGAATAGAGGAAGACTCTCTATTACAAGAGTTTTGATGACAAGTCCCTTATCAATTGACATATTCCCAGATTGTGCCATCTAAATGCAGAAGACAAAAGGGGATAGGAGGAGAGAGATGTTGGTTTATTTTCTTTCTGCGATCAGGGCATGCTTATTATGAAAAAATGAACTGGACAGATTGTTGTGTTAATTTACTGTTTCCTGTGGAATTTCTTTCTCACATCTATACATCTTCCATGAGTGGAACATCTATACCTTCAAAGGAAGCTTCTTACTGGAAGAAAGATTCTGGATGAGAATCATGCTGTGTACTTGTGTTCTGTTTGTTTTAACTGCATGATTTTGAAGTATGTTAATAATATATTCAGAATAGTTTCTAAAGGTAATTTCCAAAAACAAACAAACGTATTGTAACTATTTCATTTGACCATTTTTCATTTGTGTTTTAAATAGCTCTGGCATTGGTGTAAACATATGCTCAATCTGTTTCCAAGATTTTTGTTTTTCTGATGGAAACTTTAAATTTCATATTGAGAAACGTGTTTGGTATTTGGGTTAGATTGACCTCATACTTTGCTTCTAAGCACTTCAACACACAGCTGGCATAGCTACTTTTCAGACCTGTTACTAGTATTTTTTTACATTTTGGCAGCCTAATACTTAGAATACATACAAGAGATATTGGCTGAAACTACAACCTTAATTCTAAATTTCTCAAAGTGCATTCCATGAGATCTTAATAAGTTTTACATACACATACACCAAGAATTTTTTGGCCAAATATGCTTGAGAAATAATGACTAAAAATCAAATGTTTCTTTATTGAAAGACTTCACAGAAGCCTTAAAATCAGACTGCATTCTGACTCTCCAAAAAAAGAATAATGTCTACATATTTCTCAGACTTATTTGACCATCGAACATCTTACAGAACTAGTGTCCTGAGGCACATGCCTTAGGAAACTGCTTCAGTGGCTTTAAGCCAGAGGAAAACCATCGAGTGTGATTTCCTCAGTACAGACTCTCACTAACAAAAAGTTGGATGATAAAATCAAATCTACTACTCAGGAGGCTAAGGCAAGAGGATCAGTTCAGCCCAGGAGTTTGAGACCAGATTGGCAACATAGCAAGACCTCATCTCTTTAAAAAAAAAAAAAAAAAAGTTTTATTTAGTTGGACATGGTGGCTCATGCCTGTAGTTCCAGCTACCAGGGAGACTGAAGCAGGAGGATCACTTGAGCCCAGGAGTTTGAGACTGCAGTGAGCTGTGATTGTGCCACTGCACTCCAGTCTCAGGAGCAGAATAGGACCCCGCCATCTCTTAAAAAAAGAAAAAGACCAAATGTAAGAGCAACAAGAGCTCTCAACTAAGGGCAATTCATCTGGAGCCCTGGTACTTTGTCAAAGCAGTATCTGACTCTTAAGGAGGAAAGTCACATTGGAACAGGTGGCACAAAAGCAGTTTAGAGGCATACATGCATTGAGTCTTAATGACAGACTTACGTAGGATTCAGATAATTTTATACCTTACCTTTTCTCTCTGACTCTCCAAAAAAGAGATTCTTTAAATTACCTCCATGATATTATTGTGAAGGAAGGGATCCAGGTTGATTTAAGATTAATCATCAGAGAAGAATATTGAAGAATACCTATTCCTATTGCCTTTCTTTCCTCCCTTTCCCAAGCCTTCAGGCTCACTCACTGCTCTGGGTTATTCACTTACCTAAATGATGAGCAAAGAAAGCAAACAGAGCATTTTTTATGAGGTGTTTTTTTTGGTTTTTGTTTGTTTGTTTGTTTTTTTGTGTTTTTTTTTTGACAGAGTCTTGCTCTGCTGCCCAGGCTGCAATGCAGTGGTGTGATCTTGGCTCACTGCAACCTCCGCCTCCTAAGTTCAAGTGATTATCATGCCTCAGCCTCCCCAGTAGCTAGGATTACAGGCACGTGCCACCATGCCCGGCTAATTTTTGCATTTTTAGTAGAGATGGCATTTCACCATGTTGGCCAGGCTGGTCTCGAACTCCTGACCTCAAGTCATCCGCCCACCTCAGCTTCCAAAAGTGTTGGGATTACAGGCATGAGCCACTGCACCTGTCCTTTATTGTGAGATTTTAACAGAAAAGAAAAAAGCTATAAGAAAGACTTTCTCAGAGATCTTGCCAGAGGAATGTCACCATAAGACCAAATTGCATCATTGACATAAAGCCAAAAAAAAGTGGGTAATTCATCATTCTTGTTAATAATTAAGCATTTTATATATAAATTACGCCCATGTTCCAGATACAGCTTTTGCAATCTCCTTTGCCTGTTTTGGCCAAAACATTCTGCTTTGAAGTTATTTTTCAAAATGCTTAAGAAAATATAACCTGAAATTAGAGTCAAGATTAGGTAAATTTGCTTATATGTTGAATACTAGGATGGTGAGCTTAAGAATTTGTTAGCAACTCAGTATTCCAATTTAGTACTGCAACTTTCATATGGGAGTGGCAATTGTATGAGGTACCTTTGTAGCTCTACATGTAAAAAGTCCAAATATTTGCATCACTTGCCTGTAAGCATTTCGGCACTGTATAAGTAATATAGAAATTATGCAAAAGAAAGAGCAAAAACCCCAACTGCCCATATCTTCAATAGAGCTCATTTTGACCCAGTAAATGGTATCATCATCAACAATGCTTTTTCAGCAATGAAAGGAAGGGTAGATACAGTAAAGTGAGGATGAAAAGAAAAAGCTGTCTGAGGATATAAATGTCCCTGATGTTTCAAGCAAACATTCTAGCTGTCAGTGGAATATATTCCAAGACATAAAGTTTCTGATCCTGTTTCTGGATCAGAACACCAAACTAGCTCAAACAGGAAAGTGTTTTGGCATATGCTAACAGAATGTCGCTTCAGCACTGTGGACTTGCTGTTCAGTTTAATGGCCCACCTCCCCACCCTGCTGAGGTAATTAAAGTGTTCTAAAGCCCCTTCAGAACTCAAAAATAGTTTCTGTTTTCTGGGCAGGTGATAAATCTCATTGAGCTCGACAGAAATTTAATTACACTTTCTTCATGAAAACACCAGGGATACCCATTACCTGGATCTCTAAAGCTAAAGCCTTGGAGACCCCCTAGCCCCCGCCCCAGCCCTGAAGTTGAAAGGTTAGGTACCAATAACAAGTTCTCCATCATTTAAATGGATGGGAGGCCTCTTTAGTGTAGTCAGCTTAAACTGGACTCAAGAAAAATTGATTTTGGACTTTGGGGAAGGTAAGATCATTTTTTACCCCTGCCCAGAAATAGACCAGTCAGTTTGGCTCCACTGACATCTCATAGAAAATGAAAAAGAAGTTTTTCTGTTTTTGTTTTTGTTTTTTTATAGACTTCATTGCTCCACTCACTGAAGCGTAACAAGAATAAGATGGAAATGAGTATGTTGTTGAACACCTAGATAAGAAGTCCAAGAGAGGAGGGTCTTGAGATAACCTCACCATTCTACAGCTTGCTATAATGTTGAGTTCATTAATGGTTTGCTTAGAAAGGGGAAATTAAAGTGTAGACTTCTGCCAGAAACCAGAGGGAAAGCTTTATTTGGCCTGCTGTTTTCCTACTTACAAAGCTTTTCATTGCAATGTAGCGTTTACTGTATTTTCTCTAGCTGCAAATCATCTCCCTGTTGAACACAAGAAAGGCTGATGGCAAGTGAAGCACAACTTGGACCCTCATTTCATTATCCATAGGTCTGATGAAATGCAAGCCAGCCTAGGGAAATGGAGAAAGATCTGGCAGACCAGATGTCATTTACCCTTGGCCCACTTCAGAATAAATCAGAATTACGGTTATAACTAGCTCTTAGACAGAGGGAAATCCTAGAAAATCCTGGGGTCGCCATGGACCAGACCTAGCCTCCTGGTTTCCCTAGGCCTGAATCCAGGCTATTACACACCAGGACTACTCACCTGGAGCAAATTCTTATTTACAAATCCTTTTTTTCTGAGATCAACCTCTGGCATTCTCTGCATTGTGATTACATTGCTCATTTGATCCCTTGACACCTTCTAATTTAACTCACTTAAAAAAAAAATTTCACCTGCCATTGGCTACGTCAACTCCCTCTCCCCCATGGAGATTTCACAACGTTCATTGAAATCTTTGGAAATAACTGAGTGTCACAAAATCAG